GAATAACATGTAATTTGTATTGGCAATCAAAATCTGGAAAATAAGAGTTTAAGAAAATGAAAAAGGGAGAGGATTGCAGGAAACAAACCTTATTCTTGTAAAGATCCTTGTTCATCACTTCTTCTATAGACCAAGAAAACACCACATCTATCAATCCTCGACCTTCAATTCCTTCTTTCTTCTTCTCCACAGTGCTCATCATCTCTCCCTATAATCTAAAACAAATGTCAAAAAACTCTCATTATCATGCTTGAATTTATGCTAGGTGTGAGCCGGGTTGCTTTGCCTTTAAGTTACCATGCCCCATTGGAGACTGGGTAAAGTTTAAAAGAAAAAAGATATTATTCTACAAACAGCAAAAGGCGTACGAAGTTTTCATGAAGAATTTATTCAACAAGTAAAGCAAGAGGAATCAGGTTGACGAAGACTTCATGAATCAAGTAGCTGAGGAAAACCGAAAGCATTGTTTTTGCTTAAAAGAAATTTTATAAAATTAAATATTTTAATAGTATAATTCACATAATTTAAAGTTTATTTGTTTAAGAAATTAAAATATATATTGTACATTAATAAATGATTGTATCATTTTAAATTCATCTTTTTTTACTTCAATTTAAATTTCATTTCTAAAATATATTATTGGACATTAACAAATGAATAATAATAATAATAAATAAAATATAGAAGTAAAAGATGTCATATTAATCATTCAAACCAAATATTCAAATTATATAAACAGTGATGAGTGAGAAAATTGGATATATTTGATTTTTACTACAAACTAATAAGATAATTATTGAAGATTTCAGCTTTCCATAAAACTGAATTTATTACTTTTTGGAGAAGTACTAAGCCATGTTTAGTGGCCTTTAATTTGAAAAAAAAAATTATATTTTTAATGTTAGTTTTTGGAGTATGTGTGGTTAGAAAATAGAAAAAATGTGAGTTTACGTATAGAATATCTTATTTGGTGAATGCACATTTGAAAATTAGTATGAGAATTATATTAAATTAAAGTAAAGATAATCAAACATGAGCTAAATTAGAACTTCTTCGAAAAAAAACTTTAAAAGCTTATTTATTTAATTTTATTTTTTTTGTTAATAAGCACTTTTTTGAATTTCATTCAATTGGCGAGGAAATGGCGGTAGATGCCCGGTTGACCCAACCACTTTTTTACAATGTCCTTTGACCAGATTTAAGTGAAAAAAAAAGAGTAAAAAATTTAAGGAAATCACAATACTTATTTTACCTCCATTTTGAACCTTGAGAATTTGAAGAATGTTATGAATTTTAAAATCTCTCATACCATTTCGTGTTCTTCAATGTTTCTTCATTTTCTTAATCTTCATCGCCATTCTTCTAGGTATTTTCACCCGTCACCATCTCCCTCTCCATATTCAAGGTTTCTTCATTTTAATTGGTTTAATTCGAATATTTTGCTTATAATATTAATGGATAATATGTTTTAGCTTTAATATTCAAAGATTTAAACAAAAAATTCTTTTATTGTATTAAAGAAATCCAAATTTCTGAAGAAATTACAGTAGACCTGTTATTTGTTTACGGAGTTTGGGAGGTTCGGGCGGTCTGGGGAAAATCCGACCTTTTAATTTTAAAATGAAGGGTATTGTCTTTTAATGTTAAAGAGGCTATTGTGGAGAATAATTAGTAAGTTAGGCCTATGTGTTGGACAGAGCGTTTGACATGGAAGTTTCAAAAACGAGGCCTATGTCAAATAACAAAAAATTTCAAAATTGATATGCATTAATATAGAGTCCATTTGATTGAAGTTACCTCCAATTCTCAAATAATGGATAGGTCCATTGGCAAGTCTATAGACTTTGGAGCTAGACCTCTTGCTCAGGAGTGATCTTTAGAACTAGGCTTGTCTCGACCAATCTGAAGGGCCGAGCAGCATATTTAGAAATTTAATTTTTCCATATGATTTTTTCAAAATATTAGTCCAGCCTAAAAGATTTTTTAATCCAATCCTGATTGTCCTTGAGCGGTATCCATTGATTATAATTTGCAATTTCGATAATTTGAAGAGTTCAATTCATTTTTATACCTCTATCGCTCACTCAATTTCCCTTGTTTACAAATTACACTTTATATTCTATTAAAAATATAATCAATAAAATGTATTGATGCTCCATTTTCTAGTTTAGGAGTTGTCCGATATTGCTAAAAATTGATAAAAGTTAGTGGGTTTCATGGAATGTGCAGTGAAAAGTGGCTAAAAGTTGTGGGCGTTTAGAAATGTGTGATGAAAAATGAAGTTTGATCATTTTTAACATACAAAAGCTTTACCAATACAACTTAACGGTTTTGAGCTTGAGGTCATGGTGCTAAAATGAGTTGTTTTGAAAAGAGGATCATGTTGTACGAGGAAACAAATGCTCCATTTCCATTATTCTAAAACTCGGTCTGGACGGTCTTGGAACTAGTTCAAGCTTCTAATTCAATGGGTTTGCAACCGACCGGGTTTCGCATCAAATTGGTAACCAGGTTTACCTTGAAATGAATACTAAAGAGGAGTTTTGGACATTGGACCAACGAATTGAAATCTGTCCTCTTTTCCACTAGGCCACCACTATGTGCATGTTTGAAAAGTTATTAAATGAAAATTTAAGCCAGTATGAGCAATAAATCCTCTTGAATATGCTTATAATAAGTGGATAACAATTTCCATGTCCTATAAAATATGTAGAAAAAAGTACGTTTGACTAAAAGTGATTAAATTATAGTTACTTTTCGTAATTCTCATGTAATAATATCACACTCTGAATTTATATATTAAATTATGTTAATACTTATTGGTTATTATAATTCTATAGAGATTTTACATTATACTAGAAGCATATAAGGAAATTGATAAATTAATAAACAAAATGATAAAATAATCAAAGATTGAGTAGTAATATGGACACAATAAAAACATTGAAATATGAGATCAACAAAAATTCATAATAATCTTCTCCTTCACTTGTAATAAATAACTATTATTTGGAATTTATTTTGAATTATAAGATATTAATTTTTACACTCTTTCATCTTTCATTTATAAATATTGTTTAGCTAGACTTTCGATATGACATCACCCACCAATTGTACCAGTAATCTGTATTGAACCATTCGACTAGGCCACTCATCAGTCCAATTTTGAAAATTATTTTTTACATTACATAAAACATGACTTATAACTCGTTAATGTTTAAATTTGTACAAACTTTTACGTCAACTACATAATTAAAGTCGCTATTCTACAAGAGAAATTACATGTGCGTTTGCTTGTCCTTCCACGAGAGATGAGTGGATATTGGAGATTGTGGTCGGATGTGTTTTATAGACACGACTCATGCATAGTACATTGTTTGTGTAAATAGACAATTGTCGTACATTATTATTATTGAATAGGAATAATATTTCTCTCTCCGCCTCTCCAATCTCTCGTCTCCCTCTTCAAACCCTACGTGTGTGAATATATAACAAGATACACCATAGACATTATGAAAAGTAAACATAAGTTTTATTCAAATAATATAAAATAATAAACCATTTAGTTACTTGGATTTCATCTTCGATTGGACCTCCATTGAACAAGGGCACAAATTCTTGGTGGTGGAAATTACATTGGAGCATGTATTTAAAGATCACACTTCAAAAATTAGATATGAAGTATATTTAATCAAAAATCAGATGACAATTTAATATTAATAATTATATTATAAATTAATATATATAACCACATCCCCCAACCCAATTAAACTCTCAAACCCTAATTCATTTCTATACCTATTATCTCTCTCCGACCAGTGACATGGCAGCTCTAGCTAGTAACATGCCACAATCTCTTCTCTGGCCATCGCGATGCAGCACCACTCCGCGCGGTTCTGCGACAATGTGGTGAGCTGTGCACCAATTGACCATCAGAGGTGCTGTATAACTTCTTTGCACAAGCACAGGAACTTGTGCTTCCCCTGGTAATAGATTACTTTAGTCTGACGCAGGGAGGGAGAATGAGGATATAAATAAAACTCAATTGACCATCAGAGGTGCTGTATAACTTCTTTGCACAAGCACAGGAACTTGTGCTTCCCCTGGTAATAGATTACTTTAGTCTGACGCAGGGAGGGAGTGTGAGGATATAAATAAAACTGGTAGAGAAATTAGTCAAATAGAGGCAATGTCACACTGTAGTAATTTGAATGCTTTGTCCAATAAAAATACCGAAATTGTGAGGCCATCGCTCAGGTCCCGACTTGGGAGAAGATCAACGACGATGCTGACTTTGGAGAATATCAGATTATGTCTTCGTTCATCGCCACTGCAGTAGTGGTAATGCCATCGCAGTATTTTGGATCTGGTTTTTGCGGTACATCGGTGATGTTGTTTGGATTTGGTGGTGCGGGATGGGTTGGTTGATTTGTGACCAATTATTGGTCTTATGAGGGTTGTTTGTGACCAACTATTTTATTAATTTGTGACCAACTATATAATTGTGACCTAAAAATTTGATAATTTGTGACTGATAAATAATTTGTGATCGATAAATAAACTGTACCCTATAAATTTTTTGATTTGTAACTAATGAAATAAATTTTGATTTGTAATCGTGAAATAATCTGTGACCAAGACACAATGAAATCAAGAGAATGCAAAGAAGAGATTGGATACAAACCTTATATTTTGTTAAGATTGTTGTTATACATTTATTGTCGGGTAGAGCAAAATTTATCAAAATGCAGTAAAATATCAAAATGTAGACATGATTGGGCACTATCTAGAATCTTGATCTAGATCCGTATCCACAAAAAAATGCTTTAATCTATTGAATTTTGAATTCTGAAAGTCAAGCAGATAATACTAAATTAAAAAAGGCCATAATAAGTTCAAACTTCAATTCCATTTAATGCAAAAACTCGAGTTAAAATCTGAGTAAATTATCACGATCCAATCACAAACGAGCAACTATATCGCTCGTGGTAAGGGCCCCCTTAATCTTGTGTAGTCAATTGCAAATTTGTTGAAAATGCAGTAAAATATCAAAATGTAGACGTAGTCGAGTACTATCGAGAATCGATCCATATCCACGAAAAGTCATTAATTTATTGAATTTTAAAATCAGAAAGCCAAGTAGATAATACTAGAATAAAAAAAATCCACAATAAGTAGCAAAATCCAATTCCATTTAATGCA